GCAGAGAGGGCAAGTGATATGCAGTAACCGCGAATTAGCTGAGCAGAGATGGCAAACACTGGAGTAGGGTAAGAGGTGATCGTAGAAATAAGGGAGTGGACAGATTTGGTCACCCTAGGCTAGGAGCTTCACAGCCACTCTAGTGGAGTCATGTATTTCAGTGGTTAGAGCACTCGCCTCACAAGCGAGAGACCTGGGTTCGATTCCCAGCAGGGCAAAAAATGTTGGGCAAGTTTCCTTACTCCATACGTCTCTGTTTACCTAGCAGTAAGTAAGAACTCGGTTGCTAGTGGACTGGCGAATCACTTTTCCTTCAAAAAAAAGTATATTCCATGAAGCGCTTTGAGATGTCTTGAAGATGTGATAAGGCACTATATCAAATGCAAGGATTATTATTATATTGGAGGAGGGGCATGGGGAAGTATGGGGAGGTTTGGTGCTGCTCTAATGAGGTGGGGGGGGGGGGGGGGGGGTTAGGTGATTTGCCTAAAACAATGCTTAAAATGTCTAAGAGTTGGACATTATTTTAGTGATGTCAAAATTAGCTCTGAACCATCTCCCATGTACATTTTTAATTCAGCAACAATTCTTAATAAATATATTATATCATGTAGTATTAATATTATATTATTGTTATTTATATGATAATTGATCAATTGATTTATCAGCTTGTTTGTACATACTAAATTTGCCAATTACCTCACTTGTTGTATTTCAGGATCATGTCATTTTAAGACTTTTATTTCCTGTTTATTTTCATTTTATTTCATTTATTTGGGCAAAGATTGTAAATGTTTACATTATTGTGTTAAAATTTATTTAGATTTATATGAAATGGTTTATGTATTGTACATATTACTATTACAAGCCTTGGTTCTTGCAAACCTTCACCGAATACTCTCTTGAACTTTGATAATCCTTGCATTTGATAATCCTTGCATTTCATATTTTGTCATTGAAACATCTTGAAGCACTTCACAAGATTTTACTGTGTCGTGATGGTCTTTGTAGATTAGCGTAGCAGTCAAATTGCACACCACAATGTCACATAAACAGCCATGTAGTGAATGACCAATGTTTTATCTGGGGTGGGGATTGTTGTCCATGATACCCTTCTCAAATAGTGTCATGGGATCTTTCATGTCCACCTGAACAGCAGACAGAACCTCAATTTCATCCCATATTTGGCACCTCCAACAAAGCAGCAAACATCCAGCATTGTATTGGAGAGACAGCCTAAACTGTGAGGTCAAAGTCTCCAGTTAAGGACTGAACAACCTTCTGATTCAGAGGCAAGAATCCTACCAGTTAAACAATTTTTTATTGACGTCAGCCAGTCTTGGTTAAGCAGGGTGTGTTCCTCCAAGGGAGAGTGTGCATTCCATTCTAGATAATAATTCCATTCAATTTACAGTGAAATTTCCATAAGTAGATGGTATAGATATCCGGAACATTTTGGTTTGGATACACTGTAGTTACTTCTAAGTACAATTTTGTTACTCGGCTTCTCACTCCCCAATCACAACAATTAGTTGTTGTGTTAAATTCTTGACTTGTGAGAAACTGTTAGGAGAAGCTGGACTCCTGTAGGTGAATGTTAATTCATGGAATTAATGCTGAGTTGCTACAAACTGCTCTGAGAGGGAAATCTTACTTTGTCAAGCCAGGAACCCCCAACTACCCTTGGAGCTGCCCTTCTAGCCTTGGTCAACAGGATTCTTTCTGAGGCTCGTACTCTGTCAGTGATCCAGAATGCAATTGTGGTTTCTATCCACAAGAAGGGTCACTCTTGTGAGACCGAGAGTTACAGACGAATCTCATGGATTTCAGTGGGCTCTTAAAGTGGTGCTTTGGATGTGTATCGTACACATTCTTGACTCATCATTTGATCAGGAAGGCTGACTTCCGTTCTCTTGCCACATTCACCTACATAATTACTGCAATTGACATTAAATCCTGATAAGCGCTTTGTTCATGATGTGATAAGGCATGTTATGAAGTTCAAGGATTATTGTTCGTCATTGTACGCAATACAAAAACTAAAGTAATTACCACACATGTTTTAGATTCAGTATTGCGGACTACAACTTTTACCTCCAGGTCTGCTGATGTTCTGTCAGTTTTAGAGTGAGAAGGAGTGCAAACTTCTTGCAGATAAATGTCGATAAGACGGAAGCTATACTCCTTGGATCCTGTCAATATCTTTCTCCTGTGGCTCTGACCTCTTCAACCTCCCCGGCCTGTGTCTCAGACTCACCAAACCTAGGTGCAACCTAGGAGTCAGATTCAACCCACAGATGTCCATCCTTCCCCAATCCGGTCCCTGACCAGAACAGCTTTCCTCCACCTCCAATACATTGACCGCTTCTTACCAAACACAGCCGAAACACTCATCCATGCATTCATCACCTCCCACCTTGACTATTCGAATGCTCTCCTCACCGGTCTCCCCAGCTTCACTATCCACAAAATCCAACAGATACAAAACTCCATCACCGCACTGAACTCAGTGCCCCCATCACACCAGTTCTAATCAGGCTCCACTGGCTGCCTATCACTGACTGAACGGTCACCTCCCCACTCCCCCCGGCTCAGTGTCGTGCTCCGCCACTGTCAAGAGCTCTGGGACGCTACTCGGAGTGAGGGGTGCTGTATGAATGCAAGTTACTTATTACTTATTTAGCGATGTCACTCCAAATTGTCCAAAGTACATTTAGAAAAAAGCGACCTCAGTTACAATGTTTACAATCTGCAATGTTGAGACCTGCAACAACTGCAGAAATGCTGGAAATACAGAGGGCAACAGCAACAATTACTTATTTTCTTGACATATTTTACACACTCAATGGGAAGCCGGGCTGCAGGTTGGTGGGTGGGGGGGCTGAAGAGGGGAGGGGAGGGGAACACTGAAAACACAGTGCAAGAAATGGATCTAAAGGTGGGTTTTGAAGGCTCAGAGTGAGGTAACAAGGAATAGAGTTTCAGAATGGGGACAGATTGGCTGAAGGCTTGGAGGCAATTACACTTGGGATGTGAAGCAGGGTGTTATCTACGTCAGTCAGCTACATAACCATTGTGGTTATTTTGTGTGTTTGCAGAACAATGCTGGTTTCTGAATAAATAATGTTCTGTAAACAATTGCTAAAAAAAAGTGACACAGAGAGGGTTAAACATTTCCAGCTCTCCTACACAACTTTTGTAGAAGCACGATCTTTGTCTACGTTGGTTTCGCTAAACTTTCATTCCTATTGTTCTATCTAATCCTGAAATCAATATTTGGCAAAGGTCTTTAACTATAGGGTCTTGTCGAATTCTGTAGGTGTGTTTCTTGCCACATGACATTTGAAGCAAAGTTACTCAGCTAAATAAATACAAGATGTTAGCTGATACATGAGGTAACCCAGCCTGCCAGACATCAAGTCCTGGATACAATACACATCACATTACAATTTATATTTTAGGAATAATAATTAGTACAATGCCTTTCGCATTGGGAGGACATCGCAAGGCAATAATAATGGCTTGGCACCTGAGCTGGGGATGGGAGCCGCTGGTGGGGGAAGTGGAAGATGACTGAAAACACAGTCAAAGAGGTAAGTCTTGAATGAGATGAGGGAGGTAGTTTCTTTTCCCTCTCCACTGTCTTCAGTCCCCACCAATCATTATTGCTCCAGGCCATGCTCTGACTATTATTCACTGTCACACAGAACAGCATCATGAAACAGACTGCCCCTTCCAATTCTTTGTGTGTCTCTGACAGATGAGATCCATTGGCTTGTTAGAAGCAAGCTTTGAACATGTTTGCTTTCGATACAGTCATGTTTAGTCTTGAGGCAAACCTTGAAGGAGGCAAAGGGACTCTACTGTGGGGCTCCAGAAGTGGGGGCAGAAAGACTTAGACAAGACCGCCGATGGTGTGGCAGGTAGGGTGGGGGACATGAAGCAGGCTATTGCCTGCCAAGTGGAGGGAGCGGGCAGATTACTAGGGTTTTCGAAGGTTGCACAGAAAAGAGGTGTGGGGGGTTAAGAATTTAGAGGGTCTTGACATTGCCAACTCCCCTCGCTCCAGACATGCATATTTCTTTCTGAGTTCCGCAATCTCAACAGCTGCAGAAGTAGGAAAATGTCTGAAAGCAGATGTCTAATTTCAGGTTCACAGCTTCTGCCACTGTAAACTGGGTGTTGCTTGGTTGGAAAAATCAAGAAAGTTTTGACATCCGAGAGTAAGATAAGTAATTGTGTTAAATGAGCTATGACCTCAATGCATGGATGAAGTAATATTGTGAAGGGTAGGGCGACTTCACACATTCCTCACATTGACTGAAGCATTATTAGCAAATATCTTAAGTGAAAGATTAAAATTAGACTGGAGAGATACACATGACGTAGTGTCACAACTTGAGCATGACTCATATTGCAGCTGGAAGGACAATAAAAAGTGGCTTTAGCCATTCCTGTATTTAATACAAAAAAAAGAAAAGTGCTTTTAAATCCATAAATGCAATCACTACACTTGGCAGCAATCCTCTGTAAAAGGCTTTATGATCTTTGATATATCAAATGAAAATATTATTAGTATTATCGTAAATTTTCTTTGATTTGAACGGTGAAACCGTAGGCAAGTTTTTTTACTCCAAGCAACTCTGCTTACCTAGCCAGAAGGAAGAACTCAATAATTTGGTCACTCAATCCACAACTCTTTTTGGGACACTGTTGTGCACAATTGGCTCCTGCGTTTTGCCCACAACACCCAGTCACTTACACTTTCCAGTATATTCTGTTAAATCTTTTGAAATGTCTCAAAGACCTGATACAGCGCTATATCAAATACAAAGATTGTATTTATTGTGAAAGGTCTTCGTGGGTTGATAACCAGGGTTTAAAGTTTCCTGCACAGGTTGCATCATCAGTTATTTCAGTTGTGCCTGTTCAGCCTCTTAATGGATCATATTGGGAAAATATACAAAAACTGGACACAGAAAGCCAAACGGTGAATGCTGGAAATCTATAACTAAGTAAAACCCGCCCCGGTTAATTTGCATCTGAAAGTGGGAGGCATATCATGAATTGCTGCAAGAAAAGAACTGGAACTTCCAGTTTCAAGAAGGATCCATTCACCTGCAATATCAGTGTATTTTTGGCTTACTTGCAGTGAGGTTTTACGGCATAGAGGATAGTAACACTTTTAAGCACACCATTTACGTTTAGTGGACTGTACAAGGAGCAACATGACAAGAAGGAAGAGTTTGTTTTGGATTTGTATATTGTTTGGTTTGGGCTATTTTGCAGGCTGGATGAATACAATTAAGCCACAATATTTGAGGTATGTTTCTTTTTTTATTTTAAACATTATTTATAAATTTAACTTTAAACCATTGTAGTTTGCTACCTGTGGATAATTTTTGTCTAGTTGCTTACATTCGATTTCAAGATTCTCTCACTCGTTCTCAAATCCCTTCAAGGGCTCGCAAATCCCCACCAATCTGACCTGCTTATCCCCCACTCCACCACCCGCTGCCTCCGCTCAGCTGGCTCCGGCCTCCTGTTCGTCCTTTGTCCCTTCCGGTCCACCATCGGTAGCCATGCCTTCAGCTACTATGTCTCGAAACTCTGGAACTTCAAATCCAACCTTAAAAACCTTCCTTTTTGATTGTGCATATGGTGACCTCCCCACTCCCTCTTCCCCTGGCTCGTTGTCAGACTCCGCCATTGTCAAGCGCTCCTGGACACCACCCTGTGTGAAGGGCGCTAAATGAATGTAAGTTGTTATTTTTAAAACAAAAACTTGCAATACATGTTTAGTGGAGTTGACTGGATTCTGCACAATAGTATATATATATATATTTTTAAGCGGGGTCTCCTTGGAGCTGAACTATCTCCAAGGTGACATGCTTGGCAACGGAATGTCGGAATTGAGCCAGCCATCCGTGGCTGTCTCGGTAGTCCGGTTCCTGAGCCAGGCGGGTCCACAGTATTCCAGGGCAGACCTGGAAGGTCAGACCAATCACTCGGGACAGGGAATCCTTCCACTTAGCTCTTGTTACCCCTGCAAGCCAAAGCCCTAACAGATAGGGTAGTCCTAGCTGGACAAGCAGCGGGAAAGCTTGCCAGACAGCAATTTCAATGGCAAGCTATGTGGTTTTAGTTGGTTGGACTCCAGCTGTACCCCCATGCAAACTCTATGGTCCACAAGCCTTGACTCTTGCTTGCCCACCAGCACCTAATACTTACCGGAATTAGGTAAGCAGGATGCATCCCTCCGGGGAGAGAGAGAGCATTACAACAATCTATCTCTGGGATTTCTATGTGTAGGTGGGATGCATGGAATTATCAGTTTGGTTTGGACACTCTTTAGTATGGTGATGGGTTTCCACATGTGTCAGCCAACCAACTGCATCTAAAAAAATGTTTCACGTTGCACTGTTTTTTTCTGGTCATAGAAAAATTTCAGTTTTAGTAGCAAAGGTAATGTATAAAGCTGTTAGTACAAATCATTCTCAGTGAAAAAATATTGGGATAAGCATACAAACTGTATCAAAACTGTTTTTGAATACCTATGGGACTTCGCAGGAACTGAAAGACTTGGAGGGACATTGCTGTGTGCAACTGGTTGCCAAGTTTCACCCACAAAATACACAGCATTATTTATGTGTGTCAATGATGCCTTCACTCTTGTTTCCAGAACCACTGTAGTTAGCGTACTTCAACTGAATGTCAACAAAGCCAAATCCAATGCATTATGAATCATTGGAAGTTTCACCACTACTTTTTCTTGCTGTAGGAAATACTTGGGTCAATTCCAAAACAACCAAATTAAGATATAATTAGGCCAACCAATAACGTTCGCCCACAAATATACAGTCAATTCACTTTACAGTGTGTTCTGTGAAGCGCTTTGGGACATCCTCCTGACGTGAAAAGCGCTATATCAAATGCAAGGATTATTATTATTATTATTGGCACAAATGTGGATATTAATCCCATGCCTGCAGGTGATATCTCCAAGAAAGGTATACAAACAAGGAAAGGGAGTTGACCAAGAATAGAGCTTTGAGGTATACCGCAAATGATTATGCAAATGGGGGAGAACAGAAATATAAAACAACAATAATAGTAACCCTTGCATTTACTCCACCTCCTTGCCCCTCTACTCACAGACATCATAAATCTCTCCCTGTCCACTGGTACTGTTCAAACCCCATTAAAAACAGCTGTCATCACTCTTATCTTTAAAAAACCTTCCCTGGACCCATCACTGCTCTTAAACTACCGCCCCATCTCCAACCTCCCTTTCCGATCCAAGGTGTTATAATGAGCTGTTGCTTCCCAGCTTCACTGCTTCCTCTCCCACCACTCCCTTCATGAACCCCTTCAATCCATGCCGCCCATAGCACAGAAACAGTCCTGGTCAAAGTGACAAATAACATCCTGTCCATCTGTGACTAGGACTTCCTCTGCCTCCTCATCCTCCTTGACCTCTCTGCTGCCTTCAACACCGTTCTATCCTCATCCACCGCCTCTCCTCTCACCTCAACTTTCACGGCTTTGTATTTGAATGGTTCAGATCGTACCTCTCGCACCCCCTCCTCTTAATTTCTCTAAACGGTTTCTCCTCTAGCCCCCACACCATCTTGTGCGGCTTCCTTCAGGGCTCAGTACTTTGTCCCCTCCTCTTCAATATCTATATGCTCTCTCTTGGTGACATCATCCACAGACATGGGGTCAACTTCCACATGTATGCGGATGACACCCAACTGTACCTTTCTGCCTCCACCCTTGACTCCAGGACCACTGCTGTCCTGACTGAATGTCTGTCAGACATCGAGTCCTGGATGAGAGCTAACTTTCTTCAGTCGAACGTCAACAAGTCCGAGGCCCTCCTGATTGTCTCCCGTCAGCGCCTCCTCACCTCAGGCGTTGATAGCATCACCATTCAAGGATGCACATTCCACCTTGCTAAGCCAGTCCAAAACCTTGGTGTCTTGTTTGACCCTCAACTATCCTTTCTACCCTCCATCCATGCCTTGTCCGGCTCTGCCTTCCCCCACCTCCGCAACATCACCCGGCTCCATCACTGTCTTACACCCCTGGCCACCGAAACCCTCATACATGCTTTCATTACATCAAGGCTCAACTATGGAAACTCACTGCTTGTCGGCCTCCCCAACACCTCCCTCCATAGGCTGCAGATCATCCAGAACTCTGCAGCCCGTATCGTTCTCCCGCACTAGGCTCTGCGATCCTATAACCCTCATCCTCGCCCAAGTCCACTGGCTTTCCATCGCACAGAGGATACAGTTCAAGATCTGTTCAAAGCCCCCCATGGTCTTGCTCCCCACTACCTCTGCAACTTCTTAACCCTTACCAACCTGCCTGCTCCATCCACTGAGGGGGCTCCGGCCTGCTTCACGTCTCCCACCTTGCCTGCTCCACTGCCTTCTGCCACTCTACCCCCACCCTCTGGAACTCCATCCCGCAGTCCCTCCATCTCACCCCCTCCTTCATCACCTTCAAGGCCCACCTCAAGACCCTCCTCTTTGACCGTGCTTTCGATCTCCCTGCTTCCCCCCCTGCCCTCCCCCATCCCCCACCCTGACCCTCAGCTCGGGTCCGTAACTGTTGTGTTGTTGATACCTTGCATCCTTGTCATTGGTACAAGTGTATAACACTGTGTATTTTGTGGGTGAGATGCGGCAGCCAGTTATGCGCATCAATGTCCCAGAGTCGTGTTGTTGAGATGCTTCAAAGTGCTTCCCGAGATGTACTGTATATTTTGGATCCCCCAATTGCCCTTTATAAAGCCTTTATTACCTGTGTAGCTACTTTCAGAGATTTGTTGATCTGCATCTCTTTGCTCCTCTACTCTTAGATTTTATCATCCAGACTATAAGCGCTTTCTTTATTTTTCCTTGCAAGTGAATTACTTCATATTTTCGTATGTTAAACTGAATTTGCCTCTATCTTCTCATTCTGCTAACCTATTATGTTTTGTTGCATTATTCTGTAATTCCCTTCACTGTTTACCATGTCCCCCCAGTTCCATCTGCAAATTTTGACAGCACACCTCCTATACCTGAATCCAAATCATTTATGTATATGGTGAACAACTGCAGTCCTAATACAGACAGTGAGGAGGCAAGGAATTGGTCTGTCCTAGAGGTGCCAGTGCCTGCTGAAGCAACGACTGGATTGGTAGAGTTTGAGAAGATTGCAGGCACCATAGGGTGAGGCGAGACCTTGGAGGGATTTAAAGATTAGGATGAGGATTTTGAACTCGAGCCAATGGGGGATGGGGAGCCAGTGAAGTTAGACAAGGTTGGGGTTGATAGGTCCGGGAGCCTAGTGCAGGAAGGAAATGAGCTACAGAGTTCTGTATGATCTGTAGCTTGAGGTGGGCAGAGTTGGGAACTCCAGCAATCATCAGAACAGCATTGAAAGACTCCTCTCAACTGGTAGCAGTTTAGCCCAGTTTTTCCTGTTTTTGTTCTTGTAAAAAGATGCAAACTTTGCAACATTGTCTTTGGTATATAATAATAATAACAATCATAATAATCATAATCATAATCTTCGCATTTGATATAGTGCTTTTCACTTCTATGCAGGCAGGTATTGCTCTGAGTTATGCAAGGAGGATGGAGAGGAAGGGCCAATTGAGTTGAGAAGGTGCATATTTTCTTTTAGGTCAGGTGGGTGTGTCACATGTGTGGAGACCTATCTTCATGCTTAAGGATATCCAAACCAGAGAGTTGCATATATATGTATGTTACCTAGACAGGAAAATTCCTTGTGTCTGGAATGAAATGTACATTCTATAATAATAAGAATTATTATTATTATTATTATTATTAAAATTAGCTGTACCCTTTGCAGCTACGTCTGATCCACCAAATCCTGCCTACACGCAGGCTGCCTCATCTATCATCCACAGTGCCCTGAGGTACTGACCTACCTGACACAGGAACCAAATTACCAAGACCTCCACAGAGGATTGACTCGATTCTGATGTTCCATTGCCAAGCTCCTCACCATGGAGCGAGTCCTGCTCTGTAAAACTCTAATCCATATCTTTATCACCTGAAGGTTAAATTTCTCCAGTGGTGCTCTTTGCCAAAATCCTTTGCTTCATTCTTCACACGCTCACGTCAAAGTTCTGCTGCCCATGATCATTAAATCTCTCTGGTCTCTTCATCAGTCTGCTGTTGTCTTGTTTGTGTGAACGATGTGCTCCACACACTGTTGTTGATAGGGAATTGTGTTATTAAGTTTTAATTTGCTGTTGGGAGAGCTAAAAATGAGTGAAAATTAAATCTTCTGCTGTGTCTAGTATTAGTGAATCAAGTAAAGTGCTGGCCAATAATCTCCAAATAAAAATTGGGTTTTCATTTCATGGCTGTTTGTGGGACACTGCTGTGTCTAAATTAGCTGCCCCATTACTTCCAAAAATATACATTCACTCCACTTGTTAGTAAATCCAGTGAAGTACTTTGGAACATCCTCCTGACATGAAAGAAGCAAGAATTATTATTATTATATATAATGAGGCTGCAAATAGATTATGTTAGAAAGTGATGTCCAGGTGGGAATTTTTTTCAAGAAGGTTATTCAGCTACATTTTTCGATGCAGTTTTGAAAATTGTAAAAATTTTCTTTGTATTTCCTTTGTGTAGCACGATAATTTAAACTAAAGATTCCATGTAGTGTGATTGATATGCGAATGTATAAGTAGGGAGCTCTAATTTTTTTGTCCTAATTTTAACCACAAATTACCCATTTCTGTGGGGGACAGTCTATCTGTAAAAAAAACTATTTTCTCTGAAGAAGCACAATTTCTCTTAACAGCTTTTTGGCTTTTTTAAACTTGTGTGATTTCCATAAACTCCTGTGTTATTACCTTGGAAACTGGTGTGCCCAACCTTGAGGAGGAAGCAAATCAAGATGTAAGTTAAAGTGGAATCGCAGCAAAGGTGAATTGGAGTTACATAGGAGTTACAGCAGCAGAAAAATGATAACATTGAGGAGCACTGGAAAAGGGGATGCAAAACATAAATAATACAAAAAAAACATAGAAGGGATCTGTTTTATTGGTCCTATGCTCCTTTTTAATCTAAAATAGAACAAATAAAATAGAATTTGTCAATGTGAGCAGCAGGCAAAATATTTGGAAGTATTGTGTGGTATTGTAAGTCAGCTACAGGAAAGGCAAAGAAGCAAATGTGATTTTCCCTCATGGCAGACAGTCATTCCCGATGCAATGCTGAGAAACTGATATGAGAATAAACAGTGATATGGCATAAGCTAAAAGCTGGTTTCTTATCAAGTATGAAATAGAAGCATTAGGTGAATAAAACAGCTTTTGCCAAACTGTACATAAAAAAGATGTTAATGAAGATTAATAAGATTAATAAGATTAATAAGAGGCATAATTACTTATCTTGTTAAAATCCTGCTTTCTGCATGTGAGTGATCTGCATGCAACTGGAGCTGAATGTCAGCGATACTGATAAGCTGCTTATATTGCTATTGTTTGGACCGAGCTGTGCCCATCACTCTATACCTGAACTTAATAGCAAGGAGATGAAAAGCCTATGTTGAAAAATCTTTTGTATTATTTGCTTACAAATACACGGGTAATAAACTTTACAGTAAATTTTGTGAAGCGCTTTGAGTTGTCAACCTGGTGTGAAAGGAACTATGTGAAGTGCAAGAATTATTATTATTATTATTCGTAATTCTCTTCTGATCACTGTTTACTCTTTTGTTACAGGGTGAATAAGCAGCAAATAGATCAAACCTTAACTACTCAAAATAAAAATAATTTGAAGCCAAATCCACCAGAGTGTAAGCAGCTCAGCAAGTTGCTTACTCTTATCCCTAAGAGGTAAAAAGCTTTTTTTCAAAACATAATGAAATCATACACAAACAATATTCTAACTCGTTATGTATCTATATTAACATTGTGAAATGAGTGTGGAATACAAGCATTTATTGACCCATTGACTTCAGATGTGGAACTCGCTGCCCAAAGTTGTGGTTGAAGCAGATAGTACAGATGCATTTAAGAGGAAGCTAGATACACCCTGCATGAAGTAGTTCCTCCTAAATTCTCTTTTATGGTCCCTGGTTACGGACTCCCAAGATCAATGGAAACAGCCTATTATGTTAATTTTATCAAACCCTTTTATAATTTAAAATATTTGTATGAGGTTCCCCCTAAAACATCTCTTCTGTGATGAAAAAGAGCCTAACCTTTCCTGTCTATACTGATAGCAAAAAGCTGCCAGCCCTGGTATCATTCTCACAAACCTATGCTGGACTCTTTCCATTGCAGTTATATCCTTCTTATTGTGTGGAGACCAGAATTGGAAAATTCACTTTCCCACACTAACAGAACTGCAGAAAATCAACTTCCAGATGAAAGCTAAAGCTTATCCAAAATTGCTTTCCAAAATTTCAATAAACCCTATTTCTTAAGACAACAACAAATTGCATTTATATAGAGCCTTTCACGTAGTGAGGATATCCCAAGGCACTGGACAGTTAGGAATTTGGACCCAAGCTGGGAGTTGGAATCAGGAGGAGTGAAGTACAGGGACGATAGAAGTAGGAGGGTGACCAAAGGAGGTCTTGAGACGGGCCTTGAAGGAGTCAAGGGAGGAGGCGAGGCGGAGGGATTGTGGGGTCGATTTTCAATGTGTGGGGTCTGTGTGGGTCTGCTCGCCAATGGTCGGGCGGGCCACTCGGGGGACATGGAGCAGGCCAGAGCCTGTTGAGAGGAGGGGCGGACAGGTCAATATGGAGTTAGCAAATCACAGAAGTAGTGAGGAGCAAGGCAATGGAGGGTTTTGAAGACGAGGACGAGGATTTTGAAGTCTATCCTCTGGAGATAGGGTGCCAGTGGAGCCGGGTGAGGATGGAGGATGGGGAGCCAGTGGAGTCCGGCGAAGGTGGGTATGATGGGGTCATGGAGGCTGGTGCAGGAGAGGACACAGGCTGCAGAGTTCTGGATGATATGCAGCTTGTGGAGGGAAGAGTTGGGAAGGCCAACAAGCAGGGAGTTCGCGTAGTCAAGCCTGGATGTGATGAATGTGTGGCTGAGGATTTCAGCGGCCTGAGGGGAGAGGCAGTGGGAGAGCCGGGCGATGTTACGGAGGTGGGGCAAGGCAGAGTGAGTCATGTCACGGAGGTGGGGTAGAAAGACGTAAGATAAGCCTACGAACATGTGAATTTTTGTGTCTTGAGACCCATTTTTGTTATCTTCTAATTGTTCATTGATGCCCTATCAATACTTGATTTTACTTTTTCTAGGTTTAAAGATGATGATATCATTAAAGTCTTCAAGAAAACAGAGAAATGTACATGGTTTAGCAATTCTGCAGCACACACGAATTTCAGGTAAATGTTTGAACTGCAGAATTAAATAATCCAGAATAGAAACTGGATTCTTTAAGGTTATTCATGAAAACCAATTGGAGTATATTTTCCATTCAGTTAAAAAAAACATGTCCACTCATGGTTTCAGGGAGGTTTGTGGTCAGCCTCGTACTTTGTGGAGCCACTCGGGATGATGTAAATGTGATAACCCAGATACACAAACCTATGAAATGCCAGCTGTAATACTATCCTACAATTAACTTGCCCAGCTAGGGCTAACCTCTGGTTAGGACATTATAAGGAGTTAAGTGAAAGGAGTTCTATCACCAGCAAAAATTCTACCCTATCTCCAAACCACTTATAAGGCCATGCAGACTGGTCAGTCTTCACCAATGCCCTGGATTTCAGAAGAGCTACTTGCCTAAACCTTAGGTAGTAAATCATGTCTACCAGAGTTGACTTAGCACCATTCACCCTTTGCAAAGGATATCACCTTAGAAAGCCAAAAATGTAATACCAGAAAAGAAATGGAAATGGAATTATTGTTTTTCTAGCTAATATAAATGAATCTAATAAATTGGTGGAAAAGGCTTATTGTGATGAATGGAATCTTCCTGTTCCTGTTTCCCCTGTTTCTATGACTCTAAGCATGTTGTAACTTGAATTAATTCATATAACTTGTTTTGCCCCTTAATCTAATATGTTGAAATACATTAAAAGAACTATTATTCAATTATGAAAGCATGGGATGGTTTGAGGCAAGAGAAAATTACTGTAGATTTAGTAAGGAACTAGTTGCCTAAACTCAACTGGGGGACAGAAAAGAAACAAGTTGACACAACTCTCCAACCGCACACATCAGTGATAAGGGCTCCATGAAGCAGTGAACATTCTGCACTCTGTACCATTAGGACCGCAGTTGTCCTGGAAGCAAGGCTGGAGGCCATCGATTTTCATCTGCTTGTATGTGAAACAATGGGAAAGTATCCAAATTATCTTATAAAATATCCTCTCTGTAATAAGAATCAAATGATCCCTTGCATGACTCTTTGTTACAAAAAAACGCTTTGACAGTGTCTTCTGCACTTGACCCAAGACATTGGGATCAATAATGGAGGATTGTCAAACATCACATTCTGCTCGGTGATGTCATCCGCAGGTATGGGGTTGACTTCCACATGTTTGCCAATGATGCCCAACTCTATCTCTCTGCCTCCACCCTCTAGCCTTGATTCCAGGATAACTGGTGTCCTGATGGATTGCCTGTCGGACATCAAGTTCCAGATGAGAGCAAACTTTTGAGAGCCAGTTGAATGTCGACAAGACAGAGGCTCTCCTGCTTGGCTCCCATCAACACGTTCTCACTTCAGGCACAGACAGTATCATTATACACAGATACACAATCCACTTCTCTAAGCCTGTATGGAACCTTGGTGTTTTGTTTGACTCTTTACTGTCATTTAATCCCCACATCTGTGCCTTGACCCACTCAGCTTTCCAGATCCTCCACAATATTCCTGCCTTTGCCACTTCCTCCCCTCGGGCCGCTGAGACTCTTGACTGGGCCAACTCTCCACTTGCTAGACTTCCCAAATCTTTCCTCCACGAGCTGCAGATCATGTCCTCTCCCATACCTGCCAGCTTCCTCCACTCAGCAGGCACTGGCCTGCTTCACTATCAATAGTTGGACCTTCAGTCTTTCTGTCCTCACTCTCTGGAATCCCCATCCTAGAGTTATTTTACCTTGATCCTTCCTTTGGCTCCTTCAAGGTCCAACCCCAGCTCAGGTGCATAACTTGACTTCCCAGTGCCCTAGGATGTACTTCCGACGTGAAAGGCACAATATAAATAATAATAATAATAATAATCCTTGCATTTGATATAGCGCTTTTCACGTCGGGAGGACGTCCCAAAGCGCTTCACAGAACACACTGTGAAGTGAATTGACTGTACATTTGTGGGCGAACGCAGCAGCCAATTGTGCACAGCAATGTCCCACAAACAGTCGTAGATTGAAATTGACCAATTTATTATTGTTTTTGGTTTTGGAGGGATTATTAATAGGCGTGTGGAGTAAGGAAACTTGCCCAAGGTTTCGCCCTGCCTGGAATTGAACTCAGGTCTCTCGCTTGCAAAGCGAGTGCTCTAACCACTGAGCTACAGGACTCCACATGTAATTTGTTGTTGTAGTTGGATGTACTTCACGTTATACATGCAAGAACTCTGCTAGAATATGGTTGGAAGCAGATTGCTGAGTTCCAATGAGATTAAAATGGTGCACACAAAGTGGATATCGCATTATCCACTCCACCATTGGGGCTGACTAATAGATTTTGATAGTTATAAAATACAATACAAATTTACATTTACATAGTGCTCTTCACCTCAGCATGAATCCTTCGTAAATTTTACTGTGCAAAACGTAATTTAAAAATAAATTTAGCCTGGCTGATTATTTTTTCTAATTTTCTCCCCACTGGCACATATCTCTCTGCTGTTTGTCTGGACACCACTTGCTGGAGGACAGTTTCAATGGCATTGGTTCTCCTCCCAATTCCCAGTCGAGTGGTCATTGTTCATGTGTGAGAGCCTTGGCAGTGAGTCTCTCCCCACCTGGCTACCACACACATGCTTCAACAGAGGGATCAAGAGCAATGACCATGGCTGTTCTTTCTTTCCTTATCCCTGAGAAGCCCAAGGACAACTTAACGTTCCCATCCAGCCCCAACTGTGACAAGCAATCTCAGCACAGATCAGGATTCAAACCAGCGATCTCCTGGTCTGAAACTATAGCTCTGTCCATTGCACCATTGGGGCTGTCCTAAACATGTATATTTTTAACCCCAATAAGTTACAGCAAAATGCTCTTGGTTGCATTCAGTAGTGCCTCTGTTGAGAATAATAGGCAAAATAAAATCACCATATGAATGAAGAGAAAACAGAAAAAATGTATGAGAAAGCAAGCAATTCAAGTGTTGAAGAAGAAACATATGTTTTTGACAAGAAGCACATCCATTACAGACACATCCTTTGCATGTGTACCATAAAAAGCAAATAGGTAGCATCTGTAGTCAACATCTCTAATACAATGTCTTTCACACCAATATATATAATATCTTTCAGATCTCAAACCATTGTGCATACTTGAAAATATTGATAGCAAATACTGCAAATAACATTTTTATAACAGTTGGCCGGCCTTCTTTGCACTAACCATGATGAAACAATAGACCCAGGCATTACTGGCGAGAAATTCCACCTGGACGTAGCTTTACTCTATTTATATAAAATTTCGGAAGATCCAGGAGTTAGCAGATTGTTGAATTCAGTCTTAACTTTGAAGCTTTTTTGTTGTAGTTTTTAAAATAATTTACAGAAATTCAGCTTCTGAATTAAGGCTGCATTCAGCAATTTGCTAAATTTCTGGATAATCTGAAATGTTACATAAATAGAGTAAATTCTAGACCCAGTGGAATTTCTATCCATGTGAAACCATTAAAATTTACAGCACAGAAGAATATATGTACCTATATCTGAAACAGTCATCATATATTTAATGGAAATAGAATAGCTACAAGGAGGAAGGTTTTATAGAATAAGTTCTGATCCCAACATGTGAAATGTTTTATCTTCCAGAGCACAGCTAACAAATTGCTGCAATGCAATCCAAAACTTCACTGTTACACAAGTCAACACAGCACTAGGAGCAAATCTGACTTATGATGCACAGCCTAAAAAGAAAATAACGATCACGGAAAACATTTTTAATTTGCTTCCTCAGGTAAGTTTTGAGTGAGTTTGTGCAAGTGTGCATGTTCAGAAGTATAGTAATTTGTTTAACAAGAAGTAGGTTTTTTCAGAAAAAGAAAAAATATTAACAGCAATTTACCTGTGTACTATTAATAGTGGAGTGAGAATTGCGACTTGTGATTTGTTAATTGTAACTTGCCTTCAATGAATTTATCACATCACAGCCAATTCGACTCAGTCCATGTTTTCTGTGAATACATCTCCCTGACTTTGTCCCAATAGTTGGACATGAAGCATTCTGTTTCTCTGTGGTCACTTTCACTGTCTACTCTCTCTAGTTTTGCTAACTCTCGTAGATTCCTCTTAGACCTGGCTGTCTGTTTCTCAGTCGTCTCTTTCACTGTCCATTTTCTTTAGCAAGACGTTTTCCTACACCTGTAGTTTTCTCTCAGACTTCAACTCCGACTTATCAAATGCTCTGCTCCTCCCTCAACTACACTTACCTGTTGGTAAGTTTTGCATTTCTAGACTTTCACGTTCAATTTCTTTATGGTTTGTCGTATTTTGAGCAATTAGCATGATACAATTAGCATGTCAATAAAGATTGGACTGGTTATAGATGAAGCAATTGAGAGAGGATCTGATAGAGGTGTTTAAACAAAGTGAATATTAATAGCCTGTCACCACTTGTTGTTGAGTCCAAAACAAAGGCAATAAATATAGTGAGTAGCAGATCTAAAGGGACTTTAGGAGGAAAGTTTTAATGCAAATATTCTTCTTGGCGGGGGAGGTAAGCAGGGTCTCCTTGGAGCTGAACTAGCTGGACAACCAGCAGGAAAGCTTGCCAGACAGTGCTATCAATGGTAAGCCATGCGGTTTCACCTAGTTAGACTACAGCTGTACCCCAACGCCCGCTTTGGCTCTTGCCAACCTGTGCTTAATAGTCCCAGAATTAGATAGTCAGGTAGTCCCTCGAGAGAGAATGTGCGCATTGCACTCTTAACAGACACCTCAGGAATTTTCATGTATAGGCAGGATGCCTGGAACTCTTAGTTTGGTTTGGATCTTCTTAAGCATACGCTGATGGATTTCCACATATGTCAGACACCCTGCTGACCATAAACAAATCAATGCAGCAGGTAGTGAGAATGTGGAACTCACTGTCGTAAGCTGTGGTTGAAACTGAAAGCATCAATGTAAGCTTTTGTAAAGAAACCTGATGCATACAAGAGGGAGAAGGGAATAGAAGGGTTTGGAGAGTAGATTAGGAGGGGTGGAGGCTCATGCGGAGTATGAACACAACCACAGTCCAGTTGGGCTGAATGGCCTGTTTCCATGCTGTAAAGTTCTATGTATCTCTATGCAATACTTCTTAAAAATATATCTATTTATTTGGTAAAATGTATATTAAATATTAATTGTCATAACTTTTAATTGTATTTTAATTTTAATTGTAAATCAAAGGACCTTCTGAATTGTCACGAGAATGCTAATTGCATTTTTTATCCATCAGACTGAGCCTTTTAAAGTCCCCATATCTAAACGCTGTGCTGTGGTGGGAAATGGAGGAATTCTAACTAATAGCAGCTGTGGAGAGGAAATAGATCAAGCTGACTTTGTGTTCAGGTAAGAAGTAACATGGAGAAAGATCTGGATTTATTTCTGCTGATTCATTCGAGATAATTGAGTCTTTCCGAGGTAATAGAAATTCAAGTAAACTATTGCAATGAAATGTGTGATATTTCATAACAGAATATCTCCCCCTTCCCCTCCCACTCTTCATTTTTCTTTCAATAATTATCGAATGTGTTATTCATTTTTTTTCCTTCTTTAAAGATTGCCCATGGAACCAAACACCAATTCTATGAAAATTATGTGTAATTTCAGCTCGTCTGGATAATTTTTTTTAAATTGCTGCTCACTTCCCTGCTGACAAAATAGGTCCAAACTTGTTTTCAGATTCTCGAAGTAGCATTTGATAGCTGAACTAAATTGACATTTTGGTATGTCCAGGATTTCCTTCCGATGTGAGAGACTCTATACGAAATGTATCCTAGTCTTCTCTGCAAAGTAGAAATCCTCAGGTGTAACTATATCCCGAGGCCTGATGCGGAATGTCGTTCTCTCTCTCTGCTTTCCTAAACCCATTAAAAACACAGTTTATTATGAAAACTGTGACTTTGGCTACCTCGTCCCCTATTCCTCTTCCAGGGACATTAAGTGCAATTATAGCACCACTGATGCAATAAGGTACCTCAGGATAGACTAGAATCTGGGTTTGTGTACATACATTCATATATCCAGGGCTTTTCATTCATCTTGATTGATATGCAGAAAGATAAGCAGCTGTTGTTCAAGCTTCGCACCTCCAACTGGTGGATCAATTGTTATTTGGGTAGGGATTGTGTCTGAACTGTAGGCGGAAGGATGGTAGCAATGCTCTCTCATGCAATTTATCATGAGCTTTGAGGCTCACCAGGAAGCTCCCGAGACATCATAGTATTTGCTATTCATTCAGTGAGCGTTCAAACCAGCACTTGTGTGATGTCAAATGATCAACTAGTGACTATTCTCCTAGGGGGAGGGGGTAAGCAGTGTCTCCTTGTAGCTGAGCTGGCTCCAAAGTAACAGGCTTTCCTGCAGAATATTGGAATGGGGTCAACCCTCTGTGTGGTCTTGGTCAGAATACCGACCATACTATTCTCCCATCACAGCATCAACCACCCTTCCTGACAACTTATTGCAGTCATTAATTATTCTGTGGGTAAATTCTGCTATCCTTCCTGAAATTGTCCTTTGTGGAATGTTAGAATCAAGTCAACCTTCTGGGCAGTCTTGAATGTACAGTTTCTGAACCAACAGGAATCCTGCCAGACTGTGCTCTCAATGGCAACCTGGCAGGTAGGGCTCTCTGCAGTTTTAGTTGGTTAAACTCCACTGGTACCACAATTCACTCTCTGATTATGCCTTGCCTCTCACCAAACTGTGCCTAATACTCTCCGCGATTAGTTACGTAGTGTGTGTCCCTTCAAGGCGAGGTATTCCATTCCAGATTCAGGAAAATGTTTCTGTGTAGTTTGTATACCCCATTTCCGTGCCATGACCAGCTCTGCCTTCCCCCACCTCCGCAATGTTACCCGACTCTGCCACTGCCTCGCCCCTCAGGCTGCCAAAACCCTCATACATGTATTCACCACCTCAAGGCTTGACTATGGAAACTCCGCCTTGTCAGCCTCCCCAACTCTTCCCTCCACAAGCTGTGGATCATCCAGAACTCTGCAGCTCGTGTCCTCTCCCGCACCAGACTACATGACCCCATCATACCCACCCTCGCCTGGCTCCACTGACTCCCCATCCCTCAGAGGATAGAATTAAAAATCCTCATCCTCACTTTCAAGGCCCTCCATGGCCTTGTCCCCTCTTACATCTCTGAGCTGCTGACCGACCCCCTATCAACCTGTCCGCTTCCTCCTCTCAGCAGGCTCCGGCCTGTTCCAGGTCTCCCACCCAACCCGCCCTACCATTGGCAGCCGGGCTTTCAGCCTCTCTGCCCCCAGTCTTTGGAACGCCATCCCACAATCCCTTTGCGTTGCTCCCTCTCTTGCATCCTTCAAGGCGTGACTCAAGACCCTCCTTTTTGACCATGCCTTCAACCGTCCTCCTACCCTTCTCTTCAACCGTGCCTTCACCTCCCCTCTCGACTCTCTATCCCCTCCTCGCTCCCTCCCTTCCCTTTCCTCACCTTGACCATTTCCCCCCTGCTCGGATCCCGACCCAACTGTCCAGTGCCTTGGAACGTCCTCCCGACGTGAAAGGCGCTCTATAAATGCAATCTTGTTGTTGTTGTTCCCACTCTGCCCTCCCTCACCCCAACCCTGCTCCCCACGCTCAGGTCCTGATCCCTGACTGTTCAGCGCCTTGCGACTTCCTCCCGACTTGAAAGGCACTTTACAAATGTAATTATGTTGTTGTTGTACACATATATGGAACTCTCAGTCTCCTTTGAATACTCTGAAGCATGCTGACGGGTTTCCACATGTGTCAGACATCTGGCTCCTGACCACAAAAAAAAATCTACTTCAACGAGTTACTACTTATCATCAATTTATTGTCCAAGATGTGTTTCAGAATTTATCTAAATATTCGTTAAAATTCTCCATCAAAAATCAGAAGATTATAGTAATAATAATCCTTGCATTTGATATAACGCCTTATCACGTCTTCAAGACGTCTCAAAGCGCTTCACAGGATATACTGCAAAGTGAAATGACTGTATATTTTGTGGGCGAAACGTGGCAGCCAATTGCGTACAGCAGTGTCCCACAAATCTCACTCTCTTATCATCAGTCCTACACAATTGAGAAATACAGAAGATAATTGATTGCGGCTGCAGCAAGTGGAGACAGACTCACAAAGTGGCTTGTGAAACGACTTACAGACAGTATGAATTTGTTAAATTAAAAAGCAATTTAAAATGCACATTTTTTGGTAGTTATATTCCTTCCAGTTATATTTTTGAAAGACACTGCTTTTTTAAAAAAAATTAACAAATGCTCATTTTTACTTTAGACGTTACTGGATGATCAAACTATTGCAGTTAGATTGTGAATGTACCTGAATTTAAAGGGCACTTTAGTATTTGAATGATGCAACTGATCGGTGATTAATCAGCTCTAAAGATAAAGAATACAATATTTTCTGATTGCAAATGGCCACTAGGATTATGGAACGAGTTTTGCATTTTTAATGTTAAATATCTTGACCATAGTGTGTAGCTTTTAACCAAAAACTCTTTAACAAACTTTTCTGTCTGATCTACAGATTGTTAAAAAAAAAGGCAGGAGCGAAAACTGTGCTAATAAGATCAAATGGAAAGTCATACAACAAAGTTTGTCTCATTATAAATAATAGCATATTGATTTTTCCTATTTTACATACAACTGTCCTTGCTAATATAGATGCACAATCTGTGAACTGGAGGCTCGTACACTTTGATCATCATCAAATAAAGATTATGTTTGTCTGTGGCTTCTGAGATAAGTTTATTGATTCCCAACAGTAATGAAACTATTGTACTTTTTTACAGGTGTAATCTTGCTCCTATCATTGGCAGAGAAGATGATGTGGGATCGAAAACTGACCTGGTGACAGCTAATCCATCCATATTTTCAATTAAGTAAGTATTCCGTTTTATGTCTTCTTTAGCATCTAATGAGTTGATATTGCAGTGGACATGAGGGTCCCATAAGCTGATCTCAGTGGCATCAGCCTGGAAGGAGAGACTCTGGACATCCCACCAGAATCTATCAGGGTTGAGATGCTTTTTCATTCTACCCTCTCAGTGGCTGTGGAGCCCCAGAATTGTCTATCAGGGTAGAAATAAAACACGGTACAAATTTACATGTAAATAGTGCCTTTCCCATTGGAAGGATGTCCCAAGGCACTTAACAATACTAGTTTGGCACCCAAGCTGGGAGTGGAAACCAAGGAGTGGGGAAGGGGAAGATGAAAAGCACAGTCAAAGAGACAGGTCTATTGAGATGCATCTTGAATAAGTTGAGGGAAAGGAGAGACTCGAAGAAATTCCTGGATGGAGTTCCCAGAGAGTGGGGGGAGAAAGGTCAAAAGCCCACCTGCCGAAAGTGGGACACGTAGGTAGTGTCTACTGAGTGACGAAAGTGTCTGAGAGTGTAGGGCTTGAGGAGGTCGCAGAGATAGAAATTCCATGGTTTCATGGGTCTGGAAAGGTGGACAGAGACATTCTATTAGGTTGAACACAGAATTGGAACAGTTTAACAGCAGGGTACATAGCAAATAATAATAATCCTTACATTTAGTATAGCAACATTCACATCAGGAGGATGTCTCAAAGCTCTTCACATGATTTACTGTAAAGTGTCTTGTGTGTGGGCAAATGAAGTAGCCAGTTTGCCCACTGCAACATCTCGCAAACAACAACAAGTGAACGATGAAGTTTGTCTGGGGCACTGTTGGTCAGGACACTTGGAAAACTCCCTTGATAAAATTCTAGGATTCTGTGAACTCCACTCAGTTAAGTTATGACTTCATCTGGAGTTACTTAGGCCACTGGTCACCGATCTTTTGGAATACTCACCCCCAGCTTGGTTGCGCATCCAGCACTGTGAAGCACTTTGAGACGTCCTCCCGACATAAATTGTATTTTATAATATTTGGGGGCTGGGTTGTAGTTGGGTGTGCGGTTGAGAGCATCTAAACTAAACGGCCAGAATGCCACATATTTTCCATTTGCGGATGACATTGGAGGGTATATTTTCTCCCCAGACAGTTTGGGAGTATCAAGCAAATGTTGGCAAGAGCCAAGACTCGGGGATCCCAGAATGTGCATTGGAGTAGTGCTGGAGTTTAACTAGGAAAAGCATACAACTTACTAATTCAATCACTCCTACATGTCCATCTCAGACCACCCTAACCATTATCGAGTCGAATCGACAAGGAAGAACCCCAGCCCCAGTTATTGATCTAAACTTTCAAATCCTGTTATCAACAGTGCAGTGGAATGATTTGGACCTGCTTTGCTCAGGAATCCATTTTGGGCCTGGTCTGGCTGAGTACTAATACAGATACTCATGCAGGGGTTTACTGTACTGTTAATATGTCAGCACCTGAGAACATCCTCCTGACGTAAAAGGCGCTTTAGAAATTTAACTTGCTGCTGTTGTTGTCACAGATTAATTTCCCCCACAAAATATACAGTAAATTCACTTTACAGTATATTCTGTGAAGCTCCTTGAGACGTCTCGAAGATGTGATAAGGCGCCGTATCAAATGCAAGGATTTATTAATTATTTATTTGTTATTTATTTATGAGTTATTGATACCTAGAAGTGAAAAGGTGTTATGAAACTTGATGAATTTATTTTATATTCCCTAGATTTGAGGTGATTAAAGGATTATCTAATGAGAGTTTAATATTATGATGGAATTGACTTGAAGAAAAGGATGACTCTTGTCTCTAGCAATTGAAACAATTATTAAACTTAACTACCACTATCAAACTGACAGTTAAACAAAAGCAAAATAAAATAAGCTGCATATGTCATTTGCATCAATGAGTGTATAACTGCTGTTTGTTTACTAAGTTCATTACTTCAATGGGAACAACTTATTTTTGCAGATATCAAAACCTAAATTTTAGAAGAAAGCCCTTTTGGGAGAGTACACAGGTATACGGAAAAGCATTGATTCTATTACCTGCATTTGCTTATTCAGCACATACTAACATGGTATTTAAAGTTTCCTACACACTGGAAGATTTTGGTTCAAAACTGCAGCCAATATATTTAAACCCATCTTACATGGTAAATATCACTCAGTTCTGGAAATCCGTCGGTGTGACTGAGACTCGACTATCTAGTGGCTTGATAGTATTGAGTGCAGCACTGGAGCTTTGTGACGAGGTGTGGCTGTATGGATTCTGGCCCTTCTCGAAAAACATGGAAGGAATGAAGATCTTCAATCATTACTACGACAATATACCACCAAAGCGATCAGCTCATGTCATGCCGAGGGAATTCTACAGACTTCTGCAACTTCACACCAAAGGCATTCTGAAGTTGCGAGCTGGAAAATGCAAGAACAAGCCAACAGATATTTAGAAGGATGGGGTACAAGGCAAACATACATAGAAGTTCAAATCTGTAAAACTGAAACCTAGCTAGTTTTCTGAATGTGATTTCTCTTTTTACCACTTTTTATCTTCCACTCATCCAAATACTACTTTTTACCTTCCACTTATCCAAATACAGTCACAATAAAATCATGAGAAGTGCTTTGAAATGTTGCAACAATAAGATGTTATGTTAAATGCAGGAATAATTATTTTTGTCTTTTGAAGATTTTTGAAATTATTTTTTCTTCTAATGGTGGTATGGACCTGTGGGTGCTGGTTACACTCTGTTTTCTCACCAAGGTGTGTTCTTTATGTTGTGGCTCTGACCGTCTTTGTTGACAGACTGTTCAACTGCAAGGATCATCATAGTCAATTATGAACCACTGTTCGCCAAATGACCACACACATACATCTAGCTGTGTCTTCGATAGCAATCAATCAAGATCAGGAACCCTGATTAATTTTCCTTATTTAACTCTTGGACGCTAAGGCTGATTTTAGCCCCCTTCCTGACACCGAATGGATCGACTTCAAGGTCCTCACTCTCGTGTTCAAATCCATTCACTTCCTGGCACCTCCCTACCTCTCCGACCTCTTCACTCCCCAAACCACCACCCGCCACCTCTGCTCGACTGGCACCATCCTCCTGCTCGTCCCTCGCACCCTCTGCCCCACCATCGGAGGTCGTGCTTTCAGCCACTATGCCCCCAAACTCTGGAACGCTCTCCCTCAATCCCTCTGCCTTGCCCCCTCTTTCAAGTCCCGCCTGAAGACTTTCCTGTTCAACCGTGCTTACAGCCACCTCCCCCTGACTTGGAGACAGGCTCCGACACTGCTAAGCATTCTGAGATGCTACCCTGCATGGAGGGCGTTACATAAGTGCAAGTTGTTGTTCTAGTTGTTGTTGACTAAGATCAGCTAACAGCACAGTCTGGATTTCAAACCAGCAACCTATTTGATCTATTGCATTTACAATAAGGCTATCAAGGAGATTTCTGAATATTAGATTACTGTGAAATGTGCTGCATCTTTGAAATAAGTGATATTTTACATACTGGAGTAGGTTTTTATGTATCTGGATGTTATGACTGTGAAATCCTGAGGACGATAGATGTCAGTGAATAAACTTTATTATATAGCAATGTTCTAACGTCTGAACTGATCTTGTTGATGTCTTCTGGAATGTCAAGTACTTTTCTTCTGAAGTTTGAAGGATCATGATTTGTAAATATTATAAGGCAGTAACAAATAAAGTGTTCAATTTATTTCAGCAGAATTTATTTCATAATTTATACAACACTTTAAGCCGTCCAGCATGAAGAGTGCTATATAAATGCAAGTTGTTGTTGTCATACCATAATTGGATCTCATTTTCTTACTTTCAATATAAGATATAATGCCATTCAGAAGGAAATTTGACTGTGAATCTGATAATATTTTTGAAGCGATTGTGCGAGTAAAATAAGTTTTGATATATTTCTAAATTATATTCTGGGTTCAAAATATTTTAAACAGCATTAAAAGGAGTGAGTGGTCCAGCTCAGAGCTGTAGTTACACTAACTGATAATCTGAATCTAACCTCACAGAATTCATCAGTGTGTACAAGTACTGGACATGACTTAATTACTGAGCAGATTGAGTCGCCGGATCTCACTTGCACTTTGCCCCTGAGATTGTCTGGGAAATAAGTATCTAAAATGGATAGTTCCAGTACGAGGTGGAGGCCTCAAACATAATGAGTTTTTTTNGTTCAGCCGGGTGTCTGACACATGCGGAAACCCATCGCCATGCTTAAGAGTATCCAAACCAAACACAGATTTCCACGCATCCCACCTACACATGGAAATCCCAGAGATAGATTGTTGGAATGGAATGCGCACTCTCTCCCTGGAGGGACGCATCCTGCTTACCTAATTCCGGAAAATATTAGGCGCAGGTTGGCAAGAGCCAAGGCTTGGGGACTCCAGAGAGTGCATTGTGGTACTGCTGGAGTCTAATCAGCTAAAACCGCATAGCTTGACATTGATAACTGTAGGAGAATTTAGCAAGAGGTCGTAAACCAGCTTGTTCCTTCCTGATCAAACCACAACAACAAAAAGATTACATTTGTAAAGTACCTTTCACGTCGGGAGGATGTCCCAAGGAGCTGGACAGAGTTATGGACCCGAGCTGGAGTGGGAGATGGTGGAGGGCAGGGGGGAAGCAGGGAGATCGAAAGCACAGTCGAAGAGCAGGGTCTTGAGATGGGTTTTCAAGGTCTTTAGGAGGTCGCAGAGGTAGAGGTGAGCAAGACCGTGGAGGGCTTTGAAGGTGAGGACCAGGATTTTGAACTGTATGCTCTGTGTGATGGAAAGCCAGTGGAGTTGGGCAAGGATGGGGGGATAGGGTCGCGGAGCCTAGTGTGGGAGAGGACACAGACTGCAGAGTTCTGGATGATCTGCAGCCTGTGGAGGGAGGAGTTGGGGAGGCCAACAAGTAATGAGTTTGTATAGTTGAACCTCGATGTAACGAAAGCATGTATGAGGGTTTCGGCGGCTTGTGGTGTGAGACAGTGTCAGAGCTGAGTGATGTTGCAGAGGTGGGGGAAGGCAACAACAACAAGATTGCATTTATAGAGTGCCTTTCATGTCGGCAGGACATCCCAAGGTGCTGGACAGTTGGGTCAGGACCCGAGCAAGGGGGAAATGGTCAGGGTGAGGGAAGGGAGGGAGCGAGGAGGGGGTAGAGAGTCGAGAGGGGAGCTAAAGGGGAGAGGGAGGGGGAAGTGACCGTAAGCACAATCAAAAAGGAAGGTCTTTAAGCAGGATTTGAAACTGGGGAAGAAGGGAGGGGGCAAGGCGGAGAAATTGGGGTAGAGAGTTCCAGAGCTTTGGGGCCTTTGATGGGTTGATGGGAGCCAATGAGTATGGATTCTGTCTTACCGACATTCAGCTGCAGGAAATTTGCACTCATGCAGGCCTTGATGAACCTCAGGCAAGCTGACAGGACATCAGCGGACAGTGAAGTAGGAGGAGTAGATTTGGGTGTCATCAGCTACATGTGGAAGTTAACCCCATGTCTGCAGATGGCATTGCCATGAGGGAGCGTATAAATGATGAAAAGAAGGTGACCAGGCGGCAGCGGGAGGAGAATCCAAGATAAATTGTTGTCGATTAATCAAGTAGGATTCGAACCATGCGATTGCGATCCCACTCTTAAGGATTCTCTTGAGACGGTATTAAGTCGGTAAAGCAAAAGTCTTTCATTAAAATTGACACAATCAGCTGTATTGTAACATTACAATACATTTCAGCAATAGACAGAATTGAGATCATATTAACAGATCCCAGGTGGGGTTGGAACTCAGTCAGTTGTTCCTCCCCCAAACCTCTGGCCTGAGTACACAACTCCACTTCTTTTTATAACAGTAATTTAAGTGTGTGAAACTTGAGCCATATAAAGGGTTGTTTCTACACAGCAATGCTCAAAGCCGGATCTGCTCATCCTGTCCTTTAATTTGGGATTTTTATCACTTCCTCAATCTTGCAGTTATGTCCCTTTGTCCCTCACAACGCAATCATTATCACACCTATCACATTCTGTGGGGAAGCAGAACAAACTGATGGGTGTGAGAATATGTTGCTTCCATCTACCGCAACCTTAAAAATAACTCCATACAAGCAAGACCCTGATTCAGCAGTTGCTCACTTTCATCCTGGCTTCCTAGACCCTTAATTCATTTCAATATTACTACTAATACATTCTTTAATAAGGCCTTATACATAACTCCATAATTATCACACTTAAGCAATTATTCTCAACACCACTAAAGTGAATAAGGGAGGAGAGGTGGTGGAGTCGGATGGTGTGATCGACTGAGGTCGAGGAGAATGAGGAGGCAAAGGGAGCCCTGGTCACAGAAATAGGAGACTTTGATGAACACTGTCTCTATGCTGTGGGCAGGGCAAAAAACAAACTGAAGGGATTCGAGTAGAGAGTGGAGGGAGAGGTGTGAGTGGAGTTGATTGGCAACCACTCGTTCCAAAGTAGTGGTCAGAAATGGCCTTGTCTGTGATGGACAGATCAGTGATGCCTAGGCCATGGGTTATGACTAGGTCGAGGAGACGGCCACAGATGTGGGTCGGGGAGTTCATGTGGAGAATGAGATTTAAAGTGGAGTAGAGGCAGGCAAAGCCAGAGGAGATGGAGCAAAGGGAATTTAGATGGAGGTTGAAATCACCCATTATGAGCAGGCACTTTATGCAGAGGGACAGGGATGAGAGGAGATATCCGTGAGGAAGGAGCCAAAAGGTTTGGTGGGTGTGGTAAACTAGAAGGATTTTGAAGGAGAGAGAGTTCGGATAGTAGAGGGTGAGGTGTTCAAAGGAGGGGAAACAGACAGGCGAGTAGGGGGATAGACCGAGGGAGGTTTGGAAGATGAGAGTCACCGCTCACGTTTATTTGGGCAGGTGGTGTGGTGCGAAATATAACCAAACGGGGAGGCTTCTACAAAGGGGACAGGGTCACCGGGGGATAACGAGATTTCCATGAGCCCAATAGCAATGAATTTATCCTCCAGAATGAGGTGATGGATTAGAAGAGATTTATTAGCGAGAACAAACCCTGCTTACTCATGACTGCTTGACGTTATCAAAACTTGTTTAGCTGGTAGGACTCTCGCTTCTGAGTCAGAATGTTGGTCAAACCCAACCTGGGGACTTTGAGCTCACAATCTAGGCTGACATTTCAATACAATGCGTTTCCTGTATTGTTGGAGGTGCAGTATATGGATGAAACAGGTCCTGTCTGCCTGTTCAGGTAGACATTAAAGATGCCATGAAATAAATTGTTAGAATGGAATGCACACTCTCTCACTGGAGAGAAACCTCCTGCTTACAGTGGGGACAAATGACCATTAGCCTTGGGGTGTAAGTTGCACGTGTTTGGACATTGGGTGACAACAGCAAAGAGCATCAGCTCCAATGCCTTCCACATTCAAATAGTTTTCCAACACTTCCTTCGCTAGAGTCTATCTCATACCTTTGAAGTATAAATGCAGTATTATGCAGCAATGTATATGGCCTCAAGAAAAGCAATAAAAGATAGAAACAGATGTTTTTTCTGTACAGAAGGATGTGATAAAACCAATTATGCCTGAGCTCACTGGTAACTGTTTCTCTGCATCATTTTTAAATTTGTTTTATGGTTTTAGGGTTTTAAACAGCTTTTTTTAAGGCAGCAACAAATATTACCAATAGTTAAGATCTGTGTAAAATATATTTTTAAAGTTCAAAACCTGCCAAAGAATTGCCTTCATTGAGAGCTAAGTTAAATGTAATGCTGGAATGCAGTATTATGTAATCATGAAGTTATGATTTCCAGCCCAAAGTTGTGAATTTGACCTTATGGTGTGAATCCCTGATTGTCCAGCGCCTTGGGATGTCATCCTGACATGGAAGGCGTTATACAAATGTAATTTATTGTTATTTTTAATGTTGGTTTGGGTTGAAATTCCAATGTTGCATTGCCGCCTTTTGTCAAGATGTCAAACTGAAATCCTATCTGTCCCTGTTCAAATGGATGCT